TATTTTATTCATAATATTTTTTAAAAATAAATAACCAAATATTAAAATAACTTTCAACTGCAGTTACAATATAATTCAGTATAATCATAATCACAATCATAATTAAAATTACAGTACTTCACAACCATTCCAATCGCACTTTTAGACTCTAAATACGGTCTAAAATTGTAGACTCAGAATGATATTTCGTCCCCCAAGTCGTTATGTACATCGTCAATTGTTGGTGACAGCATGCACCTCCTCTCTGCATCCGTCTTCATCCTCGGAGCATTCAGTTCTGGCAGGAAGCGCAGAATTCCTTTGATACTGAGGTTCTAGCGGCCAAAGACAATATGCAACTGTTCTGAACAAAGAATTTTACCAACTCCTTCATGAAATTGAAACTAGAAATTACATAAGATGAGGTGGACCTCTCGCCCAAAAGAAAAGAGAAAGAATAGATGGGCTCAAGAAATGGGTTTAGTCACTTTTTTTTTTTTTGAATAAATTAATAAAGATCGGAATCGAACTAGGAATGTCAATGGGGTCCCGCGGGGTCGGGGAGTCCCTCCCCGTCCTCTTCCCTGCAAATGGCGGGAACAAGGATTCTCGCGGGAATTTTTAACAGGGGGTAAATTTTGCTCCCCATCCCCATTCCCTACCAATTAATATAAAAAAATAAATTTTTTACATATAATTAATTAATATTTAATTATAATAAATAAAAATTTAAAAATTTAAATATAATTAATTAAAATTCTTTAAATATAAATTAACCAAATATAAATAAAGATCAATCTAACATAAATAACAAAAAGGTTAATAATAGGTTGGATAAAATTAGATTAAATATAGATTTTATTGAATTGGATTTAGGTTTGAAGGTTGAATTAAATTTAAAATAAAATTAATTTATATATTTTTTTAATTTTTCACAGGGATGGGGATTCTCACGAGACCTATGGGGTAGGGAAAATTTCCCACAAATTTTCACGAGGAAAAATACTCCCCGTCCCCACCCCACAAGAAGAAATTTTTCTCCCTGTCCCGTCCCCATAACGAGGATTCCCGCAAAATCCCGCGGGAATCAGGGCAAATTACCATCCCTAAATCGAACCATTAACTAGAAAAAAGGGGTACACTTTACCGGTGGTTTGAAGTCACTGATTCGTAAGCCCAAAAGCGAAATGGGTTTAGTGACTTAGTCGTTAGTCCACTGCAAATTTTTATAGCACGTTTGGAGTGCTGGATTGACCGTGGGATGGGATAAAAATTTTATCTCATCCCACTGTCCCATGTTTGGTAAGATAAATGGATGAGATGATTGTTATCCCATATTTTATCCAATCCTGTTTTCCTTTCATAAAATGTAACCC